TGCCGCATCCGGCGGGCTGTGTCACTAGGTTTCCTGAGGCAGAGGGTCAGGCAAGCGAATACGGCGCACTGAGTGAGGGTCGTGACCGTCCAGATCCTCGGCCCACAGGGACGGATCGGTCGTCCCTGCAGTTGTCAAGAGGCTGTCGCTTGCAGAGAGCGAGTATCCTGGAGGCCAGCTTGCGAAGGCCAGTTTGAGTATAATTTAGTGACATTTTCCTCTAAAGAGCCAGTACCGGCTCGGCTTCGACTCCCGCACAGCTGACTGTAGACCGCCAGAGTTAGCCTCATCTTCAGAATCCTAGCTAATTACCATCGGAGATCTTGATGGCCTTCGGTGGTAATGAGCTAGCTAGCTTCCTTAGCCTGGGAGGCATCCTGCAGAGACCCACTCTAGGGCCCTTGCCATAGTCCCCAGTACTTAGAGGCCCCCAGTAAAGTTTTGTTGATAAAACCGAGACTGTGAAGCAATGGATGTTCATCCTGCATCTCCGTGTTCCTCGTTTTTAGATATGGATCAGAAACTCTCACAGTTGATAGAGGAGCTCACAACTTCAGGAGAATCCCAACTGAATGCTCAGAAAATGAAGGAACTGAAGAAAATTTGCAAGTATGTATTTAGGTTAAACGTATATAACAACTGGCCTGCTGAGCACCCACACTGTTTGAACCTCTCTGCCCTCTTGTGCATCTCTGCCACCTCCTTCCTTCATCACCTGGAAAGGAGTTACCTGATCACGAGGGAATGGAAGCACTTGCCTGTTGGAAGGTGGGGCCAAGAGGGTCATGAGTTCCAGGCCAGGGTGCACTACAGAGTGAGACCTTGTGTCAGAAATCTAAAGAACCACTAAAAGAGTTCTGGGGCTGTAATCTCAGGGTACATTAGTCCAGAATGTAGCCCAATTTCTAAGCTTGGTGCCTCCGACCATTTCCGTATATTATAAAGCAACCATACTCTGTCAGTAAAAGTATAGCATCTTCTTTACTGTTGGAGTAAGGAGTGTGTGATTGGGTGAGTAGCCCTGCCTTCCCATCCTTACCCCAAGCACGATAGGTAAACCATGCCTCTGAGCTATGCCTACCTCTACTCTCCCTTTCCTTTTGTTTTATTTGAGACAGAGTCTTATGTAACCCAGGTTGACCTCTTACAATGTAGTTAAGGCTGGCTGTGCATTTCTGATCTTCCTGCCTCCACTTACCAGGTGCTGGGTTGGATTTATAGGCATGTGATATCAGTGTTCTCCCTGTTTTAAGGTAGTTGTTTTTATCCTTAGTAGTCCCTCCAAAGAAAGCACCCTGCCTTGCCACTTCAGGCAGTCATAATAAGTGAGAAAGCAAAATTCTTCATTACCTCAGACACAAAAAGAAAAAAACTTAAGTGATTGTTAATGAAGTGATAGAGTATTTACATTTTAATAAAGCCTCTTGTTGCCAGGCGTTGGTGGCGCACGCCTTTAATCCCAGCACTTGGGAGGCAGAGGCAGGTGGATCGCTGTGAGTTCGAGGCCAGCCTGGTCTCCAGAGCAAGTGCCAGGATAGGCTCCAAAGCTACACAGAGAAACCCTGTTTCAAAAAACCAAAAAAATAAATAAATAAAAAATAAAAATAAAGCCTCTTGTTATAATATTGTGTGATGGAGACCTTGGTGGTGTTAGACCCCTGTAAAACTCAGGTATCTGGGGTCCCAGGCCACCCTTGGAGTCCCAGGTCACCCCAATCACCAGGCGGATTCAAGAGCTTGCTGCAAACTGCATGAGGCTTTATTGTAATTTAACGAGCTAACCCCATGTTAGCTCAGGTCTTTC